TGTTTTGAAAAACGTAAGATGGAAAAGGCTACCTTTGGGAATTGTACGAAAGTAACCTTGACTCGAAACAAATGAGAATAAGGGAAAGAGCTGGCTGCCTATAAGTGTGAAAGCCGCCAATGTGCATAAAGAAAAATGGAGCACAAAGAGAGATAAAAAAAATTGTCTTTTGCACATATTAATTGTTTGATTTCTAAGGATATGAGATACCATTGATTTATTATCTGAAATCTGAACAATTGACAGTTCATATGTTCTTGGAACTTGGTGGTGATTTTACTACACTTACTAAGTTTGTGGAACTTAATTGATTTGATTTTGGTTATTTCCATTGATACATATAATCTTATGGAGTCTACATTCTCATTGGTTTCCTTTTACAAGATTTATATGGTTGGTTGCTTCATTCTTCTAGGATTTTTCTTCCTTAAGACCCTTGTTAATTTGTGACAAAAAGGGGGAGAGAGGTTTAGAGTCTTATCATTCAGGGGGAGAAATTTCTTTAGCAATTCTTTTGCATTAAAGGGGAGAACTTTTTGCATTGAGGGGGTGAACCATTGATCATTACATATGTTTACATATTACGTTGATATTCAAGCATTAAAATGTGTTATTTTATGCTTGTGTTTTTTTTTTTTTTTTTCTTGATTAAGCTTCACGGGTAGTTGTGTTTGAGCTAATGTGCAGATTATAGGTTGCTACATGTGTTAAAGCTTTATGATGTTCAAGAAAATTTTCATGGTTTTACTTCCTTTAACAATCATTGTAATATACTTCCCTGCTTGGGTAGATTGCTGAATTGTTTTTAGGATTTTGTCACGAAATTGCCAAAAGGGGAGATTGTGAGATATATTTTATAATTAACTAATTTCATTGTCAAAACAAATCCGATCGAGTTGTAATCTTTCAGTTCTAAAAAATTCAAGATTGACGATCGGAAGCAGATTTGAAGAAGTTCAAGTGTTCATGATATACTACATTCTGAGATGATGAGAACAATGCTTTAAGAAGGTTTGAGAGGTAGTGAGAACATTTAGGAAGTTTGAAAGGTTCGGAACAAATTTTTACAATATGTCCATCTTGAACTGGTTCAAGATTTATAAAACAGGTTCAACATCAGCAGAACTGCAAAGAATTTCAAGACTGGCCATCTTGAACCTGTTCAAGGAGGCTGAACCGGTTCAAGAATCCATGGGATTCATTACTGGACTTCTTGAACCGGTTCAGCCCATCTGAACAGGTTCAAGGTTTCCTAGTAGCATTCTGATTTTAGTTTCCTTCTCTAAATGTTTCCTTTTTTATCCCAACTCTTTCTAAGTCCTATGCACGAAATTTTGCATATTTTCAGAGGGATTAGGACTTTATAAACTCTATATAAACCATGTCATATACATTGGTTTATTCATGGCTTTAGGGAAAATCAATTGTATATTGTGAGAAAGCATTTAAAGAGAGAAAATTCAGAAAATCAAATCTGATTATTCTGAATTTATTTTTGAGAGCATACACATATATTCATGAGTGATTTAGTTGTGTTGTTCTTTATCTCATTGGAATTGGAGCTATACTAAAGATTAAGATATTCTAGATGAGAAATATGATTTAATTCTTCTACAATCGAGTTTAGATCTTGAAGAACAGAAGTAAAAGCGATCACACTTTGAAAGGGTTGGAGCATTCAAGGAGTGTTGTCTGATCTACCTGTTACTCTTCTACAAATATCAAGTATAAGCCTGAGGTCAAGTTACTGTTGGACAGGGAGTCACAAAGCCAGAAGATTGTCAGCAATTGGTGCTTGGTAAAACGATATGGTGTGAGCTTGAGTCAAAGTTTGGTATACTTTGTTTCAAACATACTGGATCAGTTTACTTTGGACTGAAAGTCCACGAGGTTCTTCCAATGCAAACAGTTGACGTATTTTATCAATTGGGGTTTCCTCACTAAAATCCTAGTGCAATCTCTTTAACTCTAACTTACTTTATTTTACATATATTTGTAATTGTGGATGTTTAAATTGATCAACTAATTTAATCAATCATAAATTGAGCAAGTTAACCTAATAATCAGATCTAGGTCAGAAAAGGAGTTAATCACAATTAAAATTAACTTACTGTTTTCGCACCCTGTGCAACTCTTGTTTCTTGTTAAATTGTTGCTAAAGTAAAGTCATTATGTAGACTATAATTGTATTGTGATGATGGAAAATGTGTTGAATTTCATTCATGTTATTATGCTTTTTTGTGTTATGTGCCATGCTTACTTGACTCGAGGAAACGCCATTTAGGCATCCTCTACTGAGCGGTGGTGCTCACCCCTCTTATCTTAAACATTTTCAGGGTTTTAGGAGTGGCGGAGTGGATGAGACGCCTTCGCATGCTTATACGTAGTTAGGAAGTTTATAATTTGAAGATTCATGTATTTATATTCAATGTAATTGAATTTATTTTGATGTATAATGATGTAATTTAATTTCATTATGATGTAAGAACGTTATTTTATCAATGTGAGCATGTTTATGGATGTTTTGGATAAGATTTTAACTATATTAGATGTCACAAGTGAAACCATAAGGTTGCCAAGTTGTTTAGGCCTTTAAACAGTGAGAAAAACGCATTTCTGGGTTGGCCATTTCGATTAACCGGTAAGCCATTTCGGTCGACTAGTGTCATTTAGAATTGAAACCAGTAGCCTCGGACACTCCAGAGCCACAATCGGTTGACCGGAGTGTCATTTCGGTTGACTGATGGGTCATTTCGGTCGACTGGTATACCCTTCATGGTCAGTCAAAATAAAAACTGGGACAATATTTAACCTTTGACTTAAAACGATCATATCTCACTCATTTTAACTCCAAATTAGGTTAAATTAAGTCTAAATTCAAGGATTTTAAGTCAGCTTTCCAATGAAATTAATTTCACTCAAAAATTCCAATCGTACAGAGAGTTATGACCATTTTAGTGTGAACTGCTCCGGTATTCTTTGAAAACGAAGGGGGCAATTGTGTAAAATCCTCATTCTCATGTCCAGGACCTCGTGTCATGGGTTTAAATGACCCTTAGGACTTATAATGACTTATTTAGACTCGTTTAGAGTTATATTATTTATTACCACATCTTAGTTGACCGTTTTACCCTTGGATGTTCTTGGGTTCGTGTAAGGACCCGGTTAACGATTCGGACCCACGGGTTCGAGTTGTTATAGTAACTTTGAAAATGTAACCATATTCTTTTAAGACATGTTTAAATCTGTTTTTAGGACATGTATATATATTGGACTGGACTTCTGTAGTTAAATGTAATTAATTATATTTTCACATTGGAAATAACTGTAATGCTTTAGATGACCTCGGGTTCGGGTAAGGACCCGCTTAACGATTCGGCCCCCTGGATTTGGATCGTTACAACCGTGGTTCATTTGACGATGGTGACAGTGGCGGCGGAAAGTGCTAGGGATTTGGTGTTGGGTTTGAAGGAGAGGTAGTGGCGGCTTGTTTGGGTTAGGGTTTGAGAAAAGAGAAGAAGAGAGTGAGGAGAGAGAAATTGGGTTTCTCAGATAGTTTATACCCAGTAACCCATTTACACATATTTGATTCAAGGGTATTTAAGTCCATAAAAAAGGGTGGTACGGTTTAAATTGATAATTTAATGTGTCAAAAGGTAATAAAGTCAATTCACCATTATCGGGTGTCTTTGTCAACTTTATCAAATATAAACGAATGTTATTGTCCAAAAATAGGTCAACTTGTATATTTATGTCTTTGTGCCAAAATTCTTTATACTTGACACTAAAATAAAATAAAAATAAGGCTAAAATGCAACAAACCCTCTTAAACTATTAACAAATTTCACAAAACCCCCCTATACTAAGAACTGCCCCCCTAAACTATCAAAAATGTGCATTTAAGGACAAAACGGTTAGTGGAGGTTACCGAAAATAGAGGATTACCAATTTACCCTAGTGCTTATTGCCGACGTGTCAAGTGTAATCCTCTATACCTAATAACAAATGGACAGCACATCAACCCTTATCCTTACTATACAACTCGCAAAGCCTGCAAGACTTATAGTCAACATGTTTCTCATTCATTCTCCTTGTCCAAAGGTTACTCCATGGATGAGTTTGGGAATACAGAGATAAACTTTTGCAAAAAATTGATTGTATAGAAATAAATCAAGGGAACTCGACTTCCATGGCAGCATCAAGAGAGAAATCGAAATTCCATCCTCTATGATGCACGTGACCAGCCCTCGCATCAGAAGTTCAGAACTGAGACAATCGGAGGTATGCATCTGGAAAAGCAGTTTGGTGGCGGCTTCCAAAGCATCAAAGTATGAATCGATCGCGGGTGGTCTTTCAGGAGTTCATCGAATAAAGTCTAGAAACGAGCTAAACGGGAGTAAATGTGGGTATGGCAGAGGAGACGGCGGTGGACCTTTGATACGGTTGTCGGCATTAATGTCATCTTCCTCAACACCGACCTTAGAGACGGCAGTGGACCTTAGAGATGGGATTTTGATCGCGTGAACTGTATACTCATGCTTTATGGTCGCCGGCATCAATATCATCTTCCTCAACTACAAATGGAGTTGCTCAGTTTTGGGTGGGTTGCAGAGAATGAGAATTGTGAGACCTTAGAGATAAGATGGCGTGAAGGGTTAACAATGGGGAGTTTCAATTTGGGGCCTTAAATCATTTATTAACCTAACAATAACAAGGGTAATATTGTCATTTAGAAATTATAATCTAGGCCACGTAATAATCAGATGACGGAACAGTGTTGCCTGGTGTTTTTTGCAAAAATTAGGATAGTTCATGGGGTTTATTGTAAAAATGGAAGTCTAGGGGGTTTGTTAGGAGAGAGAGTAAAGATCAGGGGGGATTTTTCCACTTTACCCTAAAAACAATTAAATGTTCAGTCCAATCAGCACTTCACGGGGTGGGCTGTGCTGATCACATAGAGCCACCTCAGCCCATTACTTAATACTGTATTCTTTATTTTACAGAAAATTTAAAATAAATGATACCAAATTCGCCTTCATTCGTTGATCACGGCAACCGCGGCGGCGGCGGCGGCCGCCGCCGCCTAGTTTGCGTTGGTGAAAGTGAAGGGGACGATGTTTCCGTAGACACTGTTTCTTGGGTTCCTTCTTGGGATTCTGACGATTGATGCGGTCGAAGCTCTTGAAGTCCCTCTTTGTGATAGACCGATTGAATCGAAGAATCAAAGAAGAACGCGAAAAGGCGGCATCTAAATCTCATCCAGAACTCCCTGGTGACCTTGATCCCGAATTCTCTTTCAATCTATTCTTCTTATCGCAACAAGTAGGTCACCATTCACTTCATTTTGTTGCTTCATTGCTTCTTTTATTCGCCTTTATAAAATGAATCCTCCTAAACTACTCTTAATCCTGGAATAACATTAATCCTCCTAAATTATAAAACGTTTGCAGATCAATAAATTAATTGTCATTAGGTGATTGCTAAATGTCTGAGAATTACTAAATTTCCCATAAAGTCGATTGAATAAAACCCCTTAAATTTTAAAATTTTTGCAAATTATCGCTTAGGACAGGGTATTTACAATTTATTATTATTTTGGGATTTTCAAGAACTCCCATTGATTTTCCTGTTTGTTTTTTAAGAGTCATGATATTTTGCAAAATACTTGATATTTGAAGGTGATTGTCTGTTAAAAATTTAGTACGGTATATGCAAATATTCAGTATTTTTTAATGTGAATTTAACCCAAAATCATACATAGGTTGAGCTATCTCATAAATGCTATTTTTTACCTGGTCACTGATTCATTTAAAGTTAAAATAATTTTAATCTACCTTCAACTTAAACGAAAATAATTTGCGGAAAGCTAAAAATGCCACAAATGGTAGCCAGGGAAAAAAATGCCACAAATGGTTTTAATTTTTTTTGGGTAGGTGCATCACACAGACACCCATTTGCCTCATTAAAGCCTCAAATTGTCAACATTCTATTTGAAAGGAGGAGATACCTCTTAAGCTAAGCCTTTGTTGATTTATAAAAATAAATGCTTTTGGCATTGTATGCCATGGGTCTTGCCTAAGTTAATTTTGGTACCATTTAATTCATTTCATTCTATAGCTGAAAAGCAGCCACTAAATATTATAAACACAAGCTATCTTATCTACAGCTTCAAACATTTGTAAAGTGCTAAAAATATTTCAGTTGTATCAATGTTAAGTGACTTGTGTACCAGTGCACCTTCAACTAGTAGGTGAACCTGAGATCCCCCAAATAGCATACAAAATAAACTAAAAAGCTGTGTTGGGTTTTGGTGGTTAGCGTACACTGATGACAATAGACTTCATTTCTCACACAATTAGATGAACAAGTGTGCTATTGCATTTTGCAAATTTGGTCTGTTCAATGCAATACACTTATTAGACAGTGTGGCGTGGGCTTGTTTGCTAGGGTTCCTATAAAAAACTAAGAATATCTTTCAGATTAATGGATATTAAAACCTTAGATAGGGATTTGTCTTTGAGCCTTGGTCAAATAGGTTAATTGTAATTTGTAAAGGTATGGGTAATGGATGAACACAAAGTGATTTGTCATATTGGTAGATTCCATTCTAGAAGTGCTTTATGAGAAATCAATGTCTAATGAAATACTTTATTAACAATTACAGGTCATGTTCAAGCAGAAAAGTTGCAGGAATCAATTAATGGGCCTAACTAACCGTCCATTCTTGGGAAAAATTTAATGGTTTGAATGTTGTTGACAGATAAGGTATGCATTTTCCTTCCGAAAATTATAGCATTTGTTGTTCTCCACTTAAAACTTTCCTCTACTTGTCCATGAGATGTTCCTATCACCTTAGCAATTGTAGACCTATAAATAATCCAAAATATGGCTACCAACATATGAGTCTATAAATTTAAAAGAGTAATGCTATTATGAGCACATTGTTTGGAGTAACTTTTCTAAATCTCACAATTGAGGTGGTGTTCACGGTAAGAGTGCCCCATAGCAATGAGAAATTATTAGGTGGTCCGGGACCATGTGGTCTCGGCCAATCAGGAAACACCATAGAACCAAATGTGTCAGTTTTATTCAGCGTTTTGGTTGCATGCATCTCCTGATTGGCATGGTCCCGGACCACCTAATAATTTTTCCATAACAATAGAATCTATTATTTTTATACAATTAGGGACCAGGGTCCTTGTGAATCTTGAAAGTCTTTCCTCAACAAATTATCGGCAATATATTTAACAAATCCTTCCTTTTATAGGCAGTATATGCGTGCGCGCGCGCACACACGGATATTAAAATACGACTTGTTTCCATATTATATTGCAATATTCTACGTATTAAACAAATCCTTCCTATGAACATACTCGTGCTCAAAAACTTCCCTAAGACTTGGTCTTGCATAATCTATGTGACAACTAGAATAAACGTAGAACTAGCATATAATATAATTTTTGGCCAAATTGCACTAAACCCCTCTATACTATAAAAAATTTGCAAAATAAATCTACTATTTTTTATGGCAACGTACACCTTCATTTTACCAAAAGTTGCAAATTACCCACCTTTGACATACAGATGTATAAAATTTTGAGTAGTCGGGTGCAACGCATGTGACACATTGGTTGATTGTTTTGACGAAAATACCCCAATACATACCCACTTTACCCTTTCCAATTGATTTTACAAATGAGAAGTTGAGGGTGTTTGTTGCATGCATAGTGATCTAGGAAGCACAGACACACTTAAAAGGGCAAAGAATCCGTGTCGGATACGGAAATGCACCGGACACTCCCCTACACGTGTCGGACATGCCAAAAAACGTGTTTGAATTTTTTATTTTTTTGAATATTCGGATAGGGTGTGGCCATGGCACGGACATGCCGTGAATTTTTATTTTTTATGAGTAAGGCACTTGGGGATTTTAAGAAAGTTGTTGAAAGAAAGCTAGGTTGAGTGTAACTATGAGGAGTTGTTAATAGTTCTCAATAATATGATGGTCATTTTATAATTACTTAAAAGTTGTTGTTTTTAAAATAATTTTATATTAAACAATCAAATATTTATGCTTATATTTAGTTTAAAGGTTCAAACTCTTGATTTTTATGTTTCTTTGTTTTCTCCTCTTTCTATCATTCTCTCTTTTCCCTGGTAAAGCACAATTTATTTATTTTTCATTATTAGGTTAATAAAAAATAACATTACTCTTAATTTCTTATAGTACAACATCATAAATATAAATGTATATATATTTATTATTCGCCGTGTACCCGCTGCGTCCATGTCCTAATTTTTTAGGATTTGCCGTGTCGCCATGTCCGTGTCGTGTTGTATACGTGTCCCGTATCCATGTCCGTGCTTCTTAGGTAGTGATATTTTCATCAAAACAATCAGGCCATGTGTCACGTGTGTTGGGCCTGACACATTAACACTGAAAATTTCAATTTTTGTATTCCAGAGAGGGGTGATTTGCTTTTTTTGGTAAATTAGGGGTGTTTGTTGCCACAAAAAATAGTAGAGGGGGGTATGTTGTAATTTTTTGATACCATAGGGTGGTTTAGTGCAATTTGGCCTATAATTTTTATATCAAATTACAGACTACGTATAATAAAAAATTATGAAGAACCTTGCGCATTCCATCTGCATTAGAAATAGTTTATAATGTAAAACAATAGGTTTTAGTTTAATATATTTTATGGTTTACCATCTAAGAGGCAGAAGGGTAGATATTATTAGGTGGCCAATTGATTAATACTATTCTTTTAATGCATTTTTACCATTTCAAATAAATATGCATGTCAAATTCTCATGATACTCTCTATAAATGAAAAAAATATTTATTTAGTTTGAAGCAATTAATGGCCTGACACGTCCTAAGTTGTGAGTGCCTAATCCGACTTCTCAGTGCCTACAAGGTGCCAAATTTGTAAAAATTTATAACTTAAAATATATTATTGTAATTCTCAATGGATTAATGTTGTTCGCGTCTATATTTTTTGTCACTTGAATTTTGTTGTCTAGTAGTTCTTCATTTTGCTTGTCACTTTGGAGTAATTAGATTTCAATGCACAATATCTCACTCATATTTTATATGAGTTGCACATATATATATATATATATATATATATATATATATATATATATTTTAAAAAAAAAATTGGCCAGGGTGTACCTCCATTGAACTGGGGTCTAGCTCTCATACCTTTACTCATGCGGAAGAGGGGAATAGGGATTGATTCATGGGATTAAAATTGAATTGACTTTAGTTTATTGTCTCATGTGTGTGTGTGTGTATATATATATATCGAGAGAGAGAGAGAGAGGATTGATTCAGTGGAATGAAAATTGAATTGACTTTAGTTTAGTGTCTCTTGTATATATTATATATTATATATGTGAAATATATATATTTATAACTTGAAGTCATTTATTATGTGTATCTAAGTTTATAATTTTAAATCATTGATTATCTTTTGTAAGGAAGGTTGTTGCACGACGTATTGAAATATATATATATATATTTATATTATATCACTTTAAGTCATTTATTATCTTTATATAAATTTATATCTTTAAAGTCATTTATTATCTTTTGTAAGGATGGTTGTTGCACGACTTTAATACATCATTACAATAATCTTTTGTGATGACAAAAGTCCATGGCTGAATATTGTTAGATTGCAAATGTTGTTACCCAACATTTATCACATTATCTTATTTATTATTAAATTATGCATTCATATTTATGTTAGATTTTCATATGATTAGCTAATAATATTATTTTCTTCTATTTTTCTATTTGGACGGGTAGTGATTGAGGTGGTGTTTGAGAAGCTTTGAGTAGGCTTAAAAGGACTTCTCAAGATTCTTAAACACTACCTTAGATATCATTAGAGGGTGACGATTGTTGCAAGACTTTAATACTTTGGTAAAATTATTTTTTGGAGATGACAAATTCCATGGCCAATATATGAATATTATGAACTAACTTAATATATGTTAATAGCACCTGGAATGGACTTAGCGTTTGAAATGAACTCGATGGTGTCATCACATTCAATTTGACCTAAGAAGGGAAAAATTGTTATGAACACATGCTTAATGCACACACGAAGGGAAAAAAAAAAAATCATAACCAGAAGAAAATATATGAAATCTAGCGAAGTAAACAACCTGAATTCTTAATTATATGAAATCTAGGATGGATGGACAGCTTGCAGAGTGGTGGATTATGGGTATTCTAAGAGGTCCCATGCTTTTATTATTAACAAAAAATAAATAAAAAATCTCGGTTATTAGTTATATAATACAAGAAAAAAAAATCATGCTTAAAAATTTTGCAATAAACAACTGTAAGCCATAAATCCCAACTAATCATATCCATATAGACCACACTTAGAATAGACTTGATGCATCTATAATGAACTTGGTCAATATCATCATTTAAACTGAATATTAGGGGCAGTCACTGACACTCGACGCATCTAGAATGAACTTGGACATTATCGTCATTCTAAACTCGAATTAAGGGGAAAAGGCTGTTATAGACACATGCTCAACTAGAGATGAAAATGAGAGGGATAGTAAAACATGGAGAAGATATATGGAAGTTAGTGCACTAAACAACTTTTTGATTAACGCGAAGGCTTATAATCAAGTGGTACCTTTTCATCTTTCAAAGTAGAAGGTCGAGTGTTATTGAATTTGAGTTTTTTGGCAAAGTAAAATTGTAAATATATATTTATATTTATATAAAGAAAAAGAAAAAAAAGGAAAAAAAACTCTGGACTCTTAATTACATAAGAGTAATGCTACAGTGAGGGCGCTCTCATGGCAGTACCCACGAGCTCTCCTCTTGTAGCCGTAGGATAAGAATTTTCTTGAGATTCGCAAAAGGCCAACAAATGCCGTTTGCGCACAACTCTCTCTCTCTGTTCCTCTGCGCTCACTATTCCTCTCTAGCTCTGCTCACAAACCCAGATCCAGATCCTTCTTTCTCATCCTCTCCGACCAGAACCTCAACATCTCCTCCAGCACCACCGTCCACATTGAAGTCCGGTGAGAGCATCAAATTTCACACCATGAACGCCGGCGAGAAGAACTTATCATTAGTGAAAAAAATCCCAAATGCCTCTCCTCTCTCCGGTTTTGAGCATGGCAAGCTTTTTGCTCGGCGAGGATGGCAGCGACGTACTCCGGTGGGTTCAGTGTTCCGGTGAGCATAGAGAACGGTACGGTGACATGCTTGTGTACGCCAGTGATGGACACGGGTGATTTCCTTCTCGTCTTTGATGGGTTTTAGAGAGAGAGTTTAATGGATAGAGAGAAATAATGGTAGACATGGTGCTCGCTTTTGGATGTGGGTTTGTGAGCAGAGGAAGGGAGGAATAGTGAGCGCAGAGGAAGAGAGAGAGAGAGTTGTGCGCAAACGGCGTTTGTTGGCCTTTTGCGAATCTCAAGAAAATTCTTATCTTACGGCTGCAAGAGGAGAGCTTTTGGGTACTGCTATGAGAGCGCCCTCGCTGTAGCATTACTCATTATATAAAACAAAGAGTTATGCCACTGAATTTGCTACTAAAGCAACTGTCAACTGTAAACCTCTCTGGAAATCTAAGATGAGCTCTACAACATCATCACATTAAACTCGATATCATGAGAAAAAGTATGATATAAGCACATGCTCAACACAAGAAGAAACCAGAAGAGAGTGTAAACCATATGAAATTTAGTTGACCGAACAATCTATCTTGGAAGTTGGAAGTTCGTATCCCCATGGAGCCACTCTTAGAGAATTTTTACAACAATTGCCTAGTGCACATGGGATAGAAGAATAAGTACATGTGGTTTGTGGTGGATTATGGGATTGTGAAAGAGCTAATCACTACCATCGTTAACAGACACACACACACACAAAAAAGTCTCTATCTTAATTATACAAAACAAAAGTATAATCCCAATAATCAGATCCATGCAAACGACAATTGAAATGGGCTCAATGCATTAACTAAAGTGGATTTTCTACCAGTCTCGAAACCTTGGCGTATGGCTTGGGAATTAAGACCCAAAGCCACTAACTAAAGTGGACTTAGACAATATCTTGTTCTTAAATATTAAACAAAAAGAACTATACTAGCAAATATATAAATAAAGAAATTGTTGACTAAAAATAAGGATGACGATTTCTTTCAACCCGGCGGGTTTCTGCCCAGCCCTGCTCTTAATGGGACAAGTAGGAAAAGGCGTTTTATTATTATATTTTAATTACAAGTCTGGGATTTTAAAATTGAAATGGGCTCAATGCATTAAAGAATAAGAAAATATATTAACTAAAGTGGACTTTCTACCAGTCTTGAAACCTTGACCTATGGCTTGGGAATTAGGACCCAAAGCCACTAACTAGAGTGGACTTGGACAATATCTTGTTCTTAAATATTAAACAAAAAGAACCATACAAACAAACTTACAAATAAAGAAATTGTTGACTAAAAATAAGGAAGACAATTTCTTTCAACCCGGCGGATTTCTGCCCAGCCTTGCCCTTGACGGGATAGGTATGAAAAGCCGTTATTTTAATTTGAAGTATGGATTTTAAAATTGAACCCAAATCGAGTTCAGAGGAGTTCATGTGTGTGTTTATCGCGCCTCGTATTATGTAGCAATTAGGGCTGTAAACGAGCCAAGCTTCCGTCAAGTAGCTCGGGCTCAGCTCGTGTCCATTTGTTAAATAAATGAACCAATCCCAAACACAATTTATAGGCTCGTTTATTAAACGAGCCAAGCTCAAACATCTATATGCTCGGCTTGTTTGTTTGTGTACATGTTCATGAACAAGCTTGCTTAAGGGCTCGATTTGGGCTCGTGAAAAATGTATGTAATCATTTCTTTTAAGTCCTCGTGATGTTAAATTAGCCTACATAAAAAAGCCCAGTTACCTATTTAGTAATCATTAATTCAGCCCAGCACATTTCATAACATTATTGTACTTATTTATAAAAGCAAAACCAAACCCATTATCCATTTGCCTAAGCTCATTACAACTCTCACGTATATTCAGGCCCATTTGCTTCACATTATCCATTTCCTTCACATTGCTCCTTTACCATTGAGAACCCTAGCCACAACACAAGCAATAGCGCTACCCCAAGCAATGACGGAATGCTTCTGTCGGACGTTCATCCGCCGGCAACTAGAACAAGACCATACACAGTAAGTCTGCAACACGATCAGACTCTCCCATCTTAATCTGATCTTATGTTCTCTCACCTGATATCAACGGTGGCAAGTTTTCTTCGATATCAGAAAGAGATTAAAGAGATATGGTGTGTAGATCGAAAATTTGGTGATTTCATCCACCGATCAAATGGTCAGGTATGTGAGTGTGTGTTTATATATATATATATATATATATATATATATATAGATTGATGTATATTAGGGTGTGTGTATATATATATACACACACACATATATGGAATGATATATATTGAAATTTTGGAATATGTAATCAAGCTCATGAGCCGAGCTCGAGTTTGCTCGAATATCACCGAGCCGAGCTCGATCTGGCCCAAGCTAGGCTCAATCGAGTACCGAGCGGTCCGAGCCGCTCTCGGACAACTTCTAGACTTGCCGAGTCGAGCCTAAACAACCCAAGGCTCGGCTCGATTTCAGCCCTAGTAGCAATATTACCCTTTTACCCCTCTAATATTTTTACCCCTTTTACCCTTGTTCTTACTATATATATATGCTAGAAGCCTAGGGTTCGTCGCTCCTCATATCATCCACCGCTTCTCATCTTACCCCCACTTTGCTACTCACTACCCACTCTGACCGGCGATCTTCGATGACCAAGGGATTGATGATTATGTCTCTCTCTCGATCGTGTAAATCGGCTACTTAATGCTCACTCAGTATGTACCCTCTCTCTACGTTCTCTCTCAATCTGTATCTCCTTAATTTCTCTGTCACGTGTTGTGTGGTCACTCCAATATGTAAATTTCCTAATTAGCATAAGTTTGAAGTTGCATGTTATGTAATCATGAAACACTCATTTAGATTTGTTTCTTAATTTGACGCTTGAGTGCCGAAGTTTAGTGTGAGTGTGTATTGGAATATGAGATTTATTTTTGGTTTGTTTGGTTCAATTTTCAAAAAATAATCATCAAAATGTCATCAAACAAAAAAATGAGTTTTTTGAAAACAAACTTTTTTTTTTTAACTGAGTTTTCAAAAACAATATTCAGAAATTGTTGATTTTGTATAGATTTTTAGTTCTTAGAAAATAGAAAACTATTATCAGTTGTACTAAGCAAACCATTTTTCCTTCTCTCTCCCCCTTGTCCTAGGTTTGGAATAGAGATGCGATACTTTCATGTTTAACGGGACCGGGTACGGTTTAAGGAAACCTATCCTGAACCTGCCCAGTTGTCATTCCTAACTACAAGCCCTAATTAACTAGATCCATGTATGTTGTATACTAAACTTAGAATGGACTCAACATATTTCAGGTGAACTCAAGGGAAATTCAGTGCACAATGCTCCCGCTATTGCGGGGTTTAGAATGGTCAGATGTATGCCACCTTACTTTCGCATGCGAAGAGGCTGTTTCCCGTTTCGAACCCATGATCTCTGGGTCAAAATAATGCAACCTTACGGTTGCACAAAGGTCCACTCTCAGGTAAACTCGATGCTTCATTATATTTATCTTGATATAGTGAGAAAAAAAAACAGCGCATGAGAGGTATTTGTGAATCTTTTAAGGATCATTAGACTACGTCATTATATAGAGTATATAACACTGTTAATCTTTTAAGGATTATCAGACAACGGGGGTATTTGTAAGATTTAATGAAAGTTCGAGGGGTTTTTGTAAAAATTACCAGTAAGGGTAATATGTAAAAAGTGAAAGTTAAATAATTTCAATTGCAATTTATCATAAACAATATTAATTGAGAAATAATATTTACATTCCATTTTTCAATACTTGCACTCTCACTCTTTTATTAGCAAAATAATATGACACCACTGTCCTTTAACACCATTACCACTTTCCATAGTTATCCAAAAAAGCATTATTACATTCCTTTTCAGGATAGTTTAGTCACTTTAAGATTGTCAAAATCTCATCCCACTAATTAATGAAAGTTGTTGGTTAGTGTGCACATTAATACATATATATTACATGTATAAATATTTATTATCAAATTATAGGCATATTCGTACTTCCTCTTTTATTTACACTTCACCTTTAAAGTAAATTACCCAAATGCCCCTGACTTAAATTCAGCTTCAATAATTATAGGTTCTTTTGTCATTTAAATCAATAATAAGACCAAATATATATATATATATATATACACACACACAATATCACATATATATGTTTATACTATTATAAAGTCTTTTGTCATTTATATAATAAGACCAAAGATATATATATATACACACACACACACAATATCACACATATATAGTTGTATATACATGCACCTATATATATATGCACACTTAGAAAGCCATTTCAAAAGAGAGACTCTCTTGCATTGACACTGCCACAACATGCAGCGAAGCAAACACTCACAGACCTGACACTTCTCGTTCTCTCTACTTCTTCGCACCCTTTTTTTGTTCGTTTCTCGCTTACCCTCTATCCCTTTTGTCTTCTTCTTCCTCTGCCTTTTTCGTAACTCTCTTCTATAATCCTACAACAAAATTTGTATTTTATTCAACTACTTGTCCCTGTTTTGGCCTTTTTCAGTCCATTTTAGTATCTCAACCTCGTCTCACCTCTCTCTCTCTTTCTGAGGAACCAAACAGTGCATTTCAGTTTCAGTTTCAGAATAACAAAAGGGTAAGGGAAATTTTTTCAGGATTTTCCTTCTCCGATTCAAATATTATATTATAATAGTAGCAATTATTGTGTCTGTTTTGTTAATATAATTCATTGCTGTTAAATTGAAGATAAGAAGAAAAAGAGAGAGATGGGTTGTGCAAAATGTTATCTTTACCTTGGTTTAATTTGGTCTGGAACAGCTCCAGACCTAGGATTTCTGTGCAAACAGTCCTAGTTTTGCTGCATTCCATTCCTTCATTTTATTATTTGAGAAGAAAGGGGTTCATTTCCCCATCTATTTGTCCGTTCTCTCTTGGGATAAGTCCAAACTGTTTCCAATGTATATATATATGATCTGTACATACTTGTATACCCAACCCATATATTTGATCTGACAAGCATCTTGTTTGGCTGTCCTCAGATCTGTTAGACCCATGCACAGAAAAACTGAGAGAGTAACATGAAGATTAGTCGTCCTTGTTTAACATCAAGCTCTCTAGCTCATAGGATGTAAATAACAATACACCTCTTTTAGGAAAATCTCATACTTTATGCAGTTTTAGCCCTTCATGGGTTTTTGGGTCAGAGTCATATAACAGAAAAACCCAAAAGGTTCTAAAAGAAAAAAAAGAAGTAGCTAGATCAAAAATACAATGAAGAAAGATGTAAAAAAAAAAAGCACATTAACTTTAATACTGCTTTCTCGGTGACCCATCTCTCTCCATCCAAATGATCACACTTCATCTGAGCATTGAAGTTAGTGATCGGAAAACCACTTCTTCACAGGGAATAGTAAGACCCATGTTGTGAGTGAAGCCGAACTCTTCCTCGGCTCTCCGGAGCAGACACTGGAACTCAGGATGAGACAAGAATGAGATTGGAACTATGTATCTGCTTCTGTTCTCTCCAACATACACAGCAAAGTGCCCTTTTGGCACGTCGGGTGGGAGGCCATCATCCTCATAGCCATGTTTCTTTCCCAAGCTTGAGAATCTCTTGAGAATTTTCTTGAGAACTGCACTTTGTGCTAGTTTGTTTGATTTTATAATCATCATTTTTGGTTGTGGGAAGGAACACGAGAGAGAGAGAGAGAGATTCCAAAGAAGAGAATATGGTTGGTGGCGTGTGGTGAGTGGATAGAGGGGTTTGAAGGGTATTTATGAAGTAAATTTAGAGAGAGAGAGAGAGATTTGGTGAGAAAGAGGGAGTCATGTGGAGGCGCAGGGGCAAAGGATAGACTACAGGTGTTTTGGGATATGTGTATTGTGTACAAGGACATGGAGGGGGCCAGGCCCATTGGGCTTGCTCTCCTTTGTTGGCCCTCCAAATGACAACATGGACCCTATTTTCTCTCTCTCTCTCAATAAAATTTTCCTCTAAGGTGGTCTTTTCTATGTTTTGTCCGTTTTTGTCCTGCCCAATTCACTCCGAAATTTTCTGCAGATTTCAACATCACACTTTCAAGTATATTTGTTTTCGTTACCAACATTCTGTCTCAAGTTTTAAACAATTTTCTTTTCTCTAATATCTATTTGAATTGCTGGCAATTTATCAATCCCAATTTCTCTCTCTCTGTCTCTCCTTTTTTTTTTTTTTTTTTTGGTAAATTTGATTTCTTGCAAAATATCAATTTTCTTGCCACTCCTGTGTGGTTTATCACATGGGACTCATATATATCTAGATATATTTACTGAAACATTTTTTCAGAAACATTCTGGAAAATGCTAAATGTCTAGAACGAAAATTTGTGATATAGATCACAAATGACGTAGCTAGATACATGGCACACCAAATATGAGTTGAGAAGAAATAGGACATACTGGCATATATAATATCCACTGACGACAACCGGAAACGATGATTAATCAGTCGGAAAAGTTGCCGTCTTTACCATATATAACGAATAGTTTGCAAATTTTCATTGTTCATTCTCTTTTCTGTCACTAGATTCTCTGTATCTATATCCCTCACATTAAGGTGGAGATGGAGATGGTGCTGCTACCATTCCACTACTACCATTTTTTCTGGCAACTCCTAATCAACCAAAACCCCTTCGAGATTCCAATCGCAATACAATGGGAATGAGTCATTATCTCCTTCCCTTAAGCTTGTTTATTCATGTTAGTTCAATTCAATGTGAAACAAAGGACCCAATCATTAAGAAATCAATAAATTTTGCCAATTACTTGAACTGGTGAGATAAAAAATAGGACACAATTGCAGAGTATTGAGGGTTTAGAGTGTAGAGGTAGGGTTAAACTATTATACCTAGGGTTTACATTGTGTGAGTGAGGGTTTCAAACTAGATCAAACAATTGGGAGAGAGATCATTCTGGGCAAAGGAGAGAGAGTGATATTGTCGGCAAATGCAAGATACTCTAACAAAGGGCTTCAATGTTTACTGGTGCTTTGATGTGGCCGACGGTAGAGTATTTTCCTAAAGAACATATGCCCTGAACAACCTTCCAAAAAAAAAAAAAAAAAATACATGCTCTTAAAAAACCTTCCAAAAAGATATATCTATGCCCTGAATATCTTACTGTAGAAATCTTTTTCTTGCCACATCATTGCCACGTGACAGACACGTCCCTGTCATGTAGGTTTGAGATGCACATCTCGAAATTGCTTTCGAGACGTGTAGCACTGCTTGCAACTTTTGTTTCTCTCCAGCCATATCTATTTGAATGGCTGGCAATTTATCAATCCCAATTTATCTTATTGTTTTTTGTGAGTTTGATTTCTCACAAAATATCAATTTTCTATCCACTCTTCTGTGTGGTTTATCACATAGGACTTGTATGTTTCTAGATATATTTAGTGAAACATTTTCAGAAATTTTCATTTTTCTGTCATGTATTCACAACCATGAGAACAAAGAGATTTAACATTGTTCGACTTATAACATATGCCCACAGTAAAGATGATGAAGAGATTTCAGTGGGGAAAAAAAAAAGATATGTACAATTCTCTCAAACCCTAACCCTAATTTGTCTCTCTATTTTGAAATTCTTAATATTCTAACATCCTTATAAGGCTTATATACCAGGTTATAAAGTATAAAAATCATCAAAAACAAATAATCGGGTCAAAATTTTCAATCGAGCCACAACACGACCCGAACTGAAAGAGAATCCAGGTCATAACCCATCAGTTTCTTTACTTTTCCTAAATTAATAAAGAAGCTGTTCTAGTCCAGTTTGTGTTTGAAAGTCAACTCTCTTTCCTTGTAAAGTGAGACTAATGATCAGTGTACCAAGGAATACAATTGATTCCTTTATGATTATTGGGCTTGTGACTACAAACTGAGGAGCTAGCCAGGTGAAAGAAGCAGGTTCCTAACTTCCCACAGTGGTCCATTTAAATTATTATGGGTAAATTACAGTGAGACTCCCTGTGGTTTGGTTTATTGACAGCCGGATACAACTTGGCCCATTTTTGAACAATACACCCCCTTAGCTTTGGTAAGTTAACAATGACACCCCCAACCATCACCTGCCACATGTGTCAGTGGGTAAATTGGTCTTAATGCCCTTTGACTTGTGAATTGACCTATTTGAATCCTGAAATTACCATTTTAACCTTTCCTAGTCATTTTAATGGACCAAACTAACGTCCATCTCTACAAATCTGATGTAAGCGGAAGCGATAAATTTGTTCATGCGGAACAGGCTACCTTGAATCCACAAGGTGGGTGTTTTGAATCCACAAAACAGAAAGAGAATTCGGAGAAATCTGATCTATTATTTGATAATTGAATGAATAAAAGGTTAATTCTGCACTTTGCATTACACTTATTTATAATAATAGAAATCTAACTTTAGAAGAAAACTAAAACATAAAGAAACCTAATAGTAAAAGGAAAACAATTCCTTAAAGAAATTTAATAAAACTACACTTCCTATAAAAAATATAAAAATAAAATAAATAAGAAATCTAAATAATAAAAATTACTAAGTAGATAAAATTGTCCTACATCAGTCTCCTCCACTTCAAAAAAATTCGTCCTCGAATTTTGCTGCTAACATAGTTCCACCCTCATCACAATGCCATCTGATGTAATGATCACCAATATTTTTCACAACATTCAACATTGATTTTTCTGAATTTGATGATGGTGTCCCATCAAGTACTAAGATGACTCCAATTTGGCCTTTATACATTACCTACAAGGAATTAAATGTATTGAAAGACCAATCTTGGAATAAGTCCATCACCTGCTGACCAAAACCTTCACTTAAATATTTTTTTTTGCAAAGCCTCAATGCCAACTAAATTTCCTGCCACCAACTTAATTGGACTGCACATGCTTCTAGATGAATCTTGATGCACAAGACTTCCACTATATTTTGGGTCAGCTTTGTTTAACATATGAACAATCTTATTCAAGGGGATGGTTAACTCCACATTTAATGATTCAAAAGTGTTAGCAACACTGATATATGAACTTTCCAATGAGGACGAAAAATCCTTTAGCGCTTCCAAGTCGTTCTCATCATTATCATTCAAGAACGGGTCTATGTAGTTACTTGGTTTGTAACCATGCCAAAGCTCCATGCTGGACAATTCAATTCCATTATCATTGTCATAAAATTCTTCCAATTCTGCCTCACCCAGACCATCAGTTATGTCGTCCAAGGTAGCCTTTGAAGCTGTGTTTTTAGAAGCCTTCACAAGGGAATCTATAGTAGCTAAAGTATGAGAAATTTCTCATCTTCAACTACAAAAGGTGGATCAACAAAATTTTCTTTTGATCAACCTCAATAATGTTAGTCATTGCCTCAACAAAATTAGTAGGATCCTCCTTCTTGTTATCTATTTTTTTCTTCTCTTCAAAGCAATTACTCTCGAATTTCAATTCTTGTGTAAATTTGACCATTGTAGGAGGTGATTGAGGCTTCGAAGAAAATAATAAATTGGTAGAAGGATGAACCTTTGTACACCTCAGTCGATAATCCTTGTACGGCTGAAATTGGATTTCCTCGTACTCCTCGTAATTTAGTGGAAGAAACTTGATTTTCAAAAGATGTTTCATCTCAAACCAAGATTGTTTCGGTGTTTTTATTTGTCGTGCATGAGTAATCCACAACTGTTCCCACCAATTAGAAGCTCTTCCCTTCAATTTGTATGCGACGAGTGCCACCTTCTTATCCTCTGGAATCCCCATGTAATCAAAGAACCTCACAAAATCTTCTAGCCAATCTAGAAAATCTTCAACATTAAAGAGACCATCAAAACTAGGAGGAAAATTCCTAGAATCATAATCTTTATAATCATGATATCTTCGTGCATCTCTATGACCCCCAAACACCTTTTCCTCGTAGGATGACTAACTATGCGGAGAGAAGGGGTTGCGATTACGAATAGGATGAACACGATATATGTCGTTGCACAACCTATTGTTTTCGCGATTCTGATTTAGACCCAACGCGAGCCTAGCAATGGTTGCTTGAATTTCTTGCAACGCCTATTGGGTTTTGTGTTTATAGTCTTGAAATTCGGCTCTAAAAGGAGCCATTCTCTGTCGATCTTCGTCGCAAGTGAGGTTCCCAGGAAAACGATCACCTACCTTCAGACCAGGAAAAGACAAGGCTTTGATACTAACTGACGTAAGCAGAAGCGATAAATTTGTTCACGAGGAATAGGTTACCTTGAATCCACAAGGTGAGTGTTTTGAATCCATAAAACAGAAAGAGAATTAAGAGAAATCTGATATATTATTTGATAATTGAATGAATAAAAGGTTAAATCTGCACTTTGCATTACACTTATTTATAATAATAGAAACCTAACTTTGGAAGAAAACTAAAACATAAAGAAACCTAATAGTAAAAGGAAAACAATTCCTCAAAAAAATTTAAATAAACTACACTTCCTATAAAAAATATAAAAATAAAATAAATAAGAAATCTAAATAATAAAAATTACTAAGTAGATAAAATTGTCCTACATCAAAATCCAACTCACCCAATTTTTCTCTCTACATATATACATACATACATACACATATACAATTCCGTTCAGTTGCTCCCTGGTGTGCAAGGAGCAATATACGCGATTTCAATTTCAGTCGGTGCATTTCATCCAATGACTGAAATTGAAAACAACTATATTAGTTGTTTTTGGTTTTTTAAGACTCCAAAACCCGAGTGTTTTAAATAAAATTAAATACCTTATAATAAGGATGTATTAATAATGAAAAAATTAAACAAATAATTCCACAAAAATTGTGGAGTCTTTCTATTACGGGAAAAAAAGAAAAAAAATTCTCTTCGTACAAAATTTTTGACTGAAAACTTACATTTTTATTTATTTATTTATTTTTATTTTATTTTATTTTTTTTCTAGCTCTTTTCTCTATATTCATGTTCCGGTGAAAAAGTTTCTCTTCAAACAGCGCAAGTTTTGTTACTGCATACTTGGGTAAATTTCTCGCAGAGGTTAGTATCTCACTCAACATACTCCTTTCTCGATGCATGACTATGAATAGCTTCACATGGGAGACATTTTTTTTAGTTCGTATCCTCGGGTAATTAATTTGTTTCTCCAATTGTTGAGGTTTTTTTTTCCCTAGCTAATATTAAAAATGAAAGAAGATAAAAAAAAATTTGGGATTATCATCACAACTGATGGTATAAAATAATTCTTAGAAAGACTCCACTACTCTCACTCTTCTATATCCAAACTATGTTAGTGGAATTATTTGTTTAATTTTTTTATTATTAATACCTCCTTATTATAAGGTGTTTAATTTTATTTAAAATATTCAAATTGAGTGGTTTTGGAGTCTTAAAAAACCAGAAACAACTAATATAGTTGCTTTCAATTTCAGTCATTGGATGAAATCCAACGACTTATATTGAAGTCGTGTATATTGCTCCCTGCACACCAGGAGCAACTGAACAGGACTGTGCAAATACTTGTGTCACACCACTTTCTCTCGGTATTCACTTTCTTTCTTTATATCACCATCGCACCCACTGCACACCTCTACCACTCCAACCACCCACCACCATCACCACCACCCACTATCCACCGCCACCACTCCAACCAATCATTGTCACAACGCACCTTAATCCTTTACCCCAACCAACCCTGGCGGTCGAGAAGGACAAGGTGAAGCTGGGCCTTGGAGAAGAATGATCTCCGACATCGTTCTGTTCCAAGATGACTCAGTGAGTCGCACCTTCTTGGACGGCGACGATACCACCACCGGCCACAATCTCACCTCCGAAATCGGGGACGGTGTTTGGTTGGAAAACCATAGATTTCAGGAGGGGGTGAGATATATTTCATTGACCACGGCCACTCTCTCAAATCCCTCTTCTCTCGCGTCGTTATCTCTGGCAAGACCCTCTATTCTCCGCTGTTGTCGAACCACCTCGTCCACCATCTCCATCGCTGCCGTTGGACCACCTCGTTCACCATCACCGCGACACCGAGCGATTTTTATCTTCCTTTGTGCAGTAATTCCATCAGCGAATATTAGTTCTGATTAGTTGCTGTTGTTTTGATTTTAGGGTTTCAAGTTAGCAATTGGTTATTGATGGTAGTAGGAGGTTGAAAGGTGGTGGCGATGGGGGTGGGGTAGGATCACGATTTCTCTCTCTATATATATAATATACCATAGAGAGACTAGGGGTTTTTTTGTGAAGTGGTGATGGTTGTGGTGGGGCTATGAAGTGGTGGTGAGGTGAGGTGTTGTGTCTGGCGCCAAAATGCATTATATGTGCTTAATATTGCATTCTCACACAGAAAGGCAATTCGGTTATTTAAATGTTTTGATATTTTACAAAAAAAAGAAAAGAAATAATAATAAAATAATGAAGGGCAAATTAGACTTTGCATACGTTTTTAGGCTTTGTTTGGATCCCACATTTGATAGGGGATGTCATTGTTCAAAAATGGGCCAAGTTGAATCTACCTGTCAATACGGCAAAACACAGGGGGTGTCACTGTAATTTACCCATTTATTATTAGGTACTCAACTTTTAGTCTCTTCCGTTAGTTTGAAAACCAACTCTTTTTTTCTCTCACAATGTTGCAGACGAATAACCAATAACAAGTGTACTTTAAAGGTACACATTGGTTCTTCTGTGATTGTCGAGACTTGAGCTTGTGATTCTATAAAATTGTGTTGGGATTCTATTGACCATCTGTTTTGGTTATGTGCTTTTGCCTCTCAAGTATGGTCGTGGTTCACTCAATGCTGCAATGGGGAGGATCTTCCTTTGTGCAGTAATTCTATCGGCGAATATCAGTTCTGATTAGGTGGTGTTGTTTTGATTTTAGGGTTTCAAGTTACCAATTGGTTGCTGTTGATGGTAGTAGGAGGTTGAAAGGTGGTGGCGATGGGGGTGGGGGTGGGGTAGGATCACGATTTCTCTCTCTCTCTCTCTCTATATATATATATATATATATATAAAATATACAGAGAGAGACTAGGGTTTTTTTTTTGTGAAGTGATGGTGGTTGTGGTGGGGCTATGAAGTGGTGGTGAGGTGAGGTGAGGTGTTGTGTCTGGCGCCAAAATGCACTATATGTGCTTGATATTGCATTCTCACACAGAAAGGCAATTCGGTCATTTAAATGTTATGATATTTTACAAAAAAAGAAAAAGAAATAATAATAAAATAATGAAGGGCAAATTAGACTTCTCACACGCTATTAGGCTTTGTTTGGATCCCACATTTGATAGGGGGTTGTCATTGTTCAAAAATGGGCCAATTTGTATCTGGCTGTCAATATGGCAAATCTTAGGGGGTGTCAGTGTAATTTACCCAATTAGTATTAGGTACTCAACTTTTAGTCTCTTCAGTTCATTTGAATACCAACTCTTTTTTTCTCTCACAATGTCACAGACCAATAACAAGTGTACTTCAAAGGTACACATTGGTTCTTCTATGATTGTCTAGACTTGAGCTTGTGATTCTATAAAATTGTGTCAGGATTCTATTGACCATCTGTTTTGGTCATGTGCTTTTGCCTCTCAAGTATGGTCGTGGTTCACTCAATGGGAGGATCTTATTCCGATGACATCTTTTGCTGAAGTCTTGGACTGGTTTGTTGCCCACCGTGCTGGTATGAGAATTAAAGCACTCAAGACCTTTTTCACTTCTACTGTATGGTGCATTTGGAATGAAAGGAATAGAAGACTCTATGGTGGTGCTACTCATTCTGCCCCGGAATTAGCTATGGAGGCCTGTTTTGAAGGCCTTGGTTCTCTTGGCCTATCTATTTGAGATTTTGCTCCCTTATTTTGAGTTCTAGCAGTTTCTTGTTGCTGTTAGCTCATTTCTTTTTCTGTTTTTTGGTCTGGGGATGCCCTATGCTGTTTTCGGGTTAGTTATGCATTGCCAGTGTTCCTTGTATTGTGCTATAGTGGCTTCATCCTTTTTTAAAATCAACACATCTAGGAAAAAAAAGGTTATTTATTAATGTTTATAACATGCTTTCTTTTCTGTATAACTTCATCTTGTATTTATTGTTTGTTACTGTTCATGTATAGATTTCTGTGATTTTTCTATTTATTTTTTCAAATTTGGAAAGTGAATTTTCATTACATTTTCTCTGTTTTAGCCTAGATTACATTTGATTCTAAAAGCCTTTTCGATTATGTATATATCGCAGAGTGGTAGAGATCATCATCCCGGGACAATGTCGACTTGTTCAGAGAAGATGACAATGCCCACAAATGTGCAGAGCTTTCTACATTCTGCAACACCAACTGTACCTTTAAAATGCATTCCTTAGGTAATTTTTCTAAACCCCAAAAAGAATTATCTTTTGAATTAATTTTCTCTGATTCTTTTTCAATTTTTCTTTTATTTATTTATTTATTGGTTTCATTCTCATTTTGGTAAATTTTGGTGCTTTGCAGATGAATTGTATATAAATTTGATCTCTGATCTTTTATTTGCTGTACCTCTGCTATTTGGATGTCTTGGACATTTGTTCATTTCTGAATTTTTATTTTCTTGGTTTTATTTAAGGTTTACTTTTTATTTTTATTTTATATATATATACACACACACACACACACACTTTATATGTGTTTTTGTGTGCATATAGATTATATATATATAGTTTTAAAAAATTATTTTTGTCATGTGTGTATCTTAAAAACGATAAGATTGAATCTTCAATCCTTAAAATAAATAAATAAAAGAGTAAAAAAAAAATCCATAAATTTGTTGTTTACTCTGTGTTTGGGAGGGGGGAAGAAAGAAAGAAAAACCATCCAATGGCACTTAATCACAAAATGCTATATAGTTTTATGTGAAATCTCAACATCTACTCTTTTTCTTGTTGATGCGGGATAAAATATTTCTTCTTATACCTGAATTAGAAGAATTTGGTTGGAGGATGACCACGTTGTACAATAACATCAAACTTTACTATTGACTGATGCAATGGTAATGTTTGGGCAGCTTGTATTTTTGGGTTTGTGAAAATCAGTGACCACAATCTTAATTATTAAATATTTTTTTGGACCATAAATGGGAGTGGGAGAGAGAACTCCTGACGCCCTCAATTAACAATGATTACATTGAGTAATTTCCTTTTGACCTTCATTAGAATAATCACAAAGAAAAGAATTCATAATTGACCACTTGGGTATTGATCAGAAGTGATTAAACAAATAATGAGTCACCTGGATCATGTACTTCAGAATGCTGATATTCTATCTACTTTGTTATTTGGGTTGAATTTTGCAGAGATGTATCCCAGTTGTAAGGATACAATTGAATATTTCACACTGGGAGGCCTCTATTTGAAGAAGGAACTGATTTCATTAGAGCTGAAAATGCTAGATTTAAAAGAGGAAGCAGGATAAGACAGCCAAGCTTATTTCTGTCACACTTCCCAAACACAAGTGAATGTTTTGGGATGATACGGACTTCCCAAGAGGGGTCAGTTCCCAGAAGTATGAAGAAGAAGTGGAAGTAGAAAGATTATTGCACCTGAACAGTTTCACCATTTGAGATTTTAAGCATCTCTCTCTTCCATCTCTCCGAGATTGCTTCTGCAGTTTTGTACTTTGAAAAATTCAATGTAGGGTCATTGAGCATCAGTTCCCAATTCCCCTGCCCATGCCTTCGTACACCAACCCAAAGAGCATCAAGTTCATCTTTGAACCACGCTTCTACCATTATTTGACCTTCGCACAAGCTGTCTGGCTGTGCCTTTGTTGTCATCTTATCATTATTACCCAAATATTCATTTGTTGTACGGTATTCTTTACTCCTGCTTTGCCCAAAAAATGGTGTTTTGATGTCAGGTCTCACGAGAAAGTGCTGAGAACTTGTACCATTGTATTCAAAGTTTGAAGAACAAACTTGCCCCAAGCTTGTGCCAGTTCCTCTATCTGATGTGACAAATGGCTTGTAGAATTTCCCATCTTTTCCTGAAACCATATTTGTAACAGGTTCTTTGGGTTGGAGTGTGGGGAACTGAAGGGGTAGAACAGGTTCGGTTAGGCTTGGAACCAAATCAAGTCGCTCACTCATGTTTCTCAAAGCAATCTGTTCTCTGTGTCTTGCATGAAGCTTGGCACTGTTGGAAGTTATATCAGAAAATGTGCATCTTAACCCAATAGCGTCAGCAAACATCCTATAAATTCAGAAGTTGCAAGTTTTCTTTTATAGCTTGGCTTTTAGGTGTATATTTGAGATGGAATGCTATAAAGAATGGAGTGCATTTGGTGTTGGCATCCCAGTGGTGTTGAACAATGGCGAGAATGTTGTGCAGTACCATGTGCATTATCTACTCGCCATTCAAATTTACATCAACCAATCCTCTGCAACTCAGGTATTGAAACTGTTTCTTCTAACCTCCTATATACACAATTGCGTGCTGTGTCTTTCTGTTTTTGTTGTTGAATTTGGCAATATAATGGATCATCCTTTAATCTATAGGAATACAAGAGAGGATTCTGATCTGGCAGAATGTGAGAGTGAGTCTTGGAGTGACAATAGTGAGGGTGATAAACTGTCAGGGTCTCTAAGCAACCACTGTTGCAAGATTTGGGATTCCACTTCTCTGGATTCACGTTTTGACCAGGATGGTTCCTGTCAGAAAGATCGCCTTGGCTCTCTACCTTCAGTACCATGAAACGTGTTCGCTGTACCGGAGGATTCCACCGATAGACAAAGTAAATATTATGTCTTTTATATTAATACATTGTTTGTTTTATTTTATTTTATTTTTATTTTTATTTTTATTTTTATTTTTATTTTTTTTATAACTTTTTTGTGTTTCCTACTGTTGACATGTAAACTGGGAGTGAATTAATAATCTTTATTTATATAAGTGGGTGGGATGGCTGATGATTTATGTAACCGACCCCAAGTAGGAAAATGGCTTGGTGAGTTGAGTTGTACAAACTCTTATTAGCGAATAATTTCCTGTTTGGTTCGTTTGATTTAGATCACTGATCTCATTCAAAATTGTTTGGGGCTCTTGACAGCATCTCTCTCTCTAGCGAGTTGGATGGCCATTGCTTAGTATGTTTGCTAGTTAGTCTCTGAAAGATGTTCTTGTAATATTATTGTCCATAATCTGTCTTTTGTTCGTGATGAATTTTTTTATAGGTAAGATATACTCGCACATCCACTTTTTTTTTTTCCCATCCTGGACTTGAACCCTTCAGCCTTTTCTTTGTCCTTGGGAATCCGGCTTCCGGTTTTGAGCCCTTCAGCCTTTTCTTTGTCCTTGGGAATCCGGCTTCCGGTTTTGAGCCTTCGCACCTTCCCTCCCCACTAACCCCTAACATTCTTTCCATGAAAAAAATAAAAATGAAAATAAAAGAGAATCAAGAGAAGCTCTAGTCAAATTCCAATCGAGCAGAGAAGCTCCAAATCCCATTTGTAAAAGCACAATCCCAGAAAAGATGATCTCTAGAGTCCGAGTCCAAATTCTGAAAAAAATTCACAAAAACAGAAGCCATTTGCGAACCTCTTCGTTGAAGAAAGCTTATCTTGAATAACTAGACAAGCAGTGAAATTTTTTCTAGGTCGTCCTCTGTCCCGACAGTTCCTTTTGTCCCGACAGATATCACTCTAAGGAACATAAGGATTATAAGTTCGACAAACCTCTGCAAAAGAGTCTTGACCATCGCACTAAACATCATTAAACAAACTGAATTCAGAACCTGAACAAATCCGAAAAGGAACATTCTGAATCACGATGTCCCTTACTGCAATCATCTTTCTCCAAATAGCAGAGTGAGAGTGGTATGAAGATTTCCTCACATATCCTTACTCTTCAGAAGGTCCCAAACCATAGAACAAGTGAAAGCTCTCTGAATGTCGTACATCTTTTTCTTCTATCAATTTTCTAGAAACTTTTTGAATCTCACAAGTCACGATAATGAAAAATTATTAGGTGATCAGGACCATGCAATCCCAACTAATTAGAAAATGCCATTAAACCAATTTTGTCACTTTTCTTCGACCTTTTGGTTGCATGACATTTTCTAATTGACAAAATATTTCTTGATTAGCGAGAATCACATAGTCCATCACCACCTAATAATTTTTCAGTAACAATAGAAGATATTGTTTTTAAACAATTGGGCTGCACTTAAATCTTAAAAGTCTTTGCTCAACCAATAATGGTACAAAATATTAAACAAATCCTTCCTCTTACAGGCAGTACACACACAATAAAATGTGACTTGTTCTCCCTATTATATTGCAGTATATTAAACAAATCATGCCTCTGAACATACTCGTGCTCGAAAACTTTCCACTTGGGGCTTGATTGATTATCCAATTTAACGCTTAATTCTGAATGGATTAAGCGTTTATCCAATTAAGTGCGTTTGATAAAGAAATTTGAATATCACTTAAAATGATAAGAACCACTTAAAATGGATAAAATTTTAAGTGACTGTGACATCACTTATCACTTACTGTTAAACATTGAAAATTTAAAAAAATAATTATTTTTTAATTACCACTTAAAAACTTCAGCACTTAAAATTCAGTCCTTAATTTTTAGTTTTATCAAACATTACCTTAGTCTTGTATAATCGATGTGACAACTAGAATAATTGTAAAATTAGCATATACTAAACCCATCTATACTATCCAAAAGTTGCAAGATAGCTCTACTATTTTTGTGGCAATAAAAATCCTCGTTTTACCAAAAATTGCAAATTACCCCCTCAAGCATATAAAAATTGAAAAAAATTGATGTTAATGTACTTGGGTGCAACACTTGAGCTCATTGTTTTAATGAAAATACCCTTTCACATGCCCATTTTATCATTTACAATTGATTTTACAAATGAGAAGTTTTAGGGTGTTTGTTGCATGCGTGGGGGTATTTTCATCAAAATAATAACCTTATGTATCATGTGTGTGCACTTGACCACTTTTAACATTAAAATTTTCAATTTTCGTATGTTGTCAAAGGCACGCCTATGCTTTCGTCTCATATAAGCACACCACTTGCTTTGTTGTGTGTCCAAGTGCGTCTTTGACAACATTTGCACTTTTAATATGGAATATGGATATGCTTTAGTAATAATTTAATTTTTTAATTGTGCGCTTCACTTCCTTTAGGTGCGTGCCTCGTCTTGCATTTAGGCTTTAAAGGACCTCCAGGGCTTTAGTGAGATGGACTTTAATATGCTACATATGCTAGAGAGGGGTATTTGCAACTTTTGGTAAATTGAGGGTGTCCGTTGCCAACAAAAAACAATAGTAGAGAGGGAATTTTGCAATTTTTTGATACCATAAGGGAATTTAGTGCAATTCAACCTATAATTTTTATATCGAATTAACTAACTACGTAGAATTAATACATTACGAAGAACCTTACATATTTCCTTTTACGTTAGAAATATTTTATAAAACAAATCTAATACATTTTATGGTTTTACCATCTAAAAGGAAAAAGGGTACCGATTATATGGTGGGAATGGATTAATACTAATCTTTTAGTGCATTTTTTATTTTCAAATAAATATGCATGTACTTGGAATTTTGAAATATTTTATTATTAGTTTTCTTTTTTATTGGGTGATGGGTAAAAATTGTAAGTCTACAGAGGAGTTTGTTGATTTTTTATGTTCCTTGAGTCAGTAGGACATTTTCATTGGCTTTTGCCTTTGTGTAGATTCGAGATGCTTCCCCCCATAAAAAGAAAAATAAATATTCATGTAAATTATCATGTTATCATTATACATAGAAAAATATTTATTTAATTTGAAGCAATTAATTGCCTGACGCATCTTAAGTTGGGAGTACCTAATCAGGCTTCTCAGTGCCTACGTGGTGCTAAATTGTAAAAATATATTACTTTGGATCTACGATTGTAATTATCAATGAATTAATGTCCTTCTCATCTATATTTTTTTTCGCCTGAATTTTGTTGTATAGTAGTAATTCTTCATTTTGCTCGTCATTTTGTAGTAATTAAATTTTAATGTACAAAAATTCACCCATATTTTATATGAGTTGCATAGATTTATTTATTTAATTTTTTAATGAAATTTGGCCAGGGTGTACATCCATTAAACTGGGGTCAAATATGCTACATTCACTCGTGCCAAAGAGGACAATTGGGATTGATTCATACCATTAAAATTGAATTAACTTTAGTTTACTTGTCATGTATTTGAAATATATATATTTATACCTTTAAGTCATTTATTATGTGTATGTAAATTTATAATATCAGGTTATTTATTATCATTTTATATAAATTTATAACTTTAAGTCATTATCTTTTGAAGGAAAGTATCAACTTTAATACATCATTACAATAATCTTTTGCGGTTACAAAGGTCCACGCAGAATATTGTAAGATTGCACTCTTATTACACAACATTTATTACATTTTATTATTTATTACTCTCTCTATCCTAATTTGCTTTTTTTTTTTGGCCGTCCCAAAATAATTGTCTCATTTAAAAAGTCAAAAGAAGATAAGGGCGTCTATGAAATATATATTTAAAAATAAAATTGAATTTACTTTAGTTTATTGTCTGAAGTATATGTTATATATATATATATATATATAACTTTAAGCCATTAATTGTGTATGCATAAATTTATAACTTTACGTCATTTATTATCTTTATATAAATTTATAACTTTTAAGTCAATATCTTTTGTAAGGAGTAAGGACGGATGTTGCATGACTTTAATACATCATTACAATAATCTTTTGCGATGACTAGTGGTGGAGACGGGCTAACTATTAAAGATAATATAATAAAAAAATAAATCAAAATAATAAATAACAAAGGATGATTTTTATTTTTATTTTTATTTTAAAATTTTGTGGAATACACTGTATGGGAAAAAATATGGGGTGTTTTTAATTTTTAACGTCTTTTTGACATTTTCTTAAGATTTTTTGTGAATTCTGAAAATTTTTAGTGAAAGTTGAGAGGAAGATAATGAACAAAGTTAATTGTCAAATTGGACCAAGATATGGACAGGAATCTAAATTAATATTAGTAATATAAACCACATTACATTAGATTGAGCGGTATTCCCTCCATCTTCCAAAGAATCGGTTGAAGTTTCGAGTCTCAAATGAAAAAAAAAGAAAAAGAAAAAAAAGTGGGGGTGTGAATTTATCTTACCTATAAAATAATAATCATAAACAAAAGACTATTATGGACAATCATATTACAAGAACATCTTTCAGAGACTTGCTGGAGAGAGGTCATGCTTTTCAATGTCAAGAGTCCCAGACAATTATTCTAATTATCATAGCAGTTCCATGCAAAAGTCTCAACAGAGCCTACCATTTGGATCCTTTTCTGAAAATCACACAAGCTCCTCCGATCAATGCAGACTCACTGAGCTACCTCACTCAACGATGCTAACCCTCGTCCAACTCCTCCAACAACTCCAATCACCAGATGAACTTCACTGCAACGTTTCACCTACACAAACCAACTGCCAAAAAACCAAACAGAGCACCGCAAAAAGACATGCTCAAAGCTCGTTCAAACCAATCTGCAAACATAAACATAACATTATTACATTTAATCTGTCGGGTCTGCGAGGGTTCGCTTGGCCAGGTGTTGTGGCAGTGCCAATGAGAGAGTCCCGATCTCTCTTTGAGATGGCGTTATAACAGAAAGTGTGTGTGTATATATATATATATGTGATTTTGTGTATATATATATCATTGGTTTTATTATATACTCCCTCCTTCCAAAACAGTTCCTATAGTGTGCAGATATTTTGGGACTGAGTACATGACAAACGACTTTACAACAGTACAAACATATATAATTGTAATTTTTTTTTATTTTATTATTATTATTATTTTTTCAGAAGCAAAAGGATATATGTGTGTAATTATATATGAGATATTGGCATATTGCATATATATATATAATTGGTCTTATTATTAATTCAAATGACAAAAGAACCTATAATTATTGAAGCTGTATTTA